TCAGGTTGGTCCGTAGCGTTGGAGATCCGAGAATAATGTTTTGGCATGTTTCAGGGTCTTCAAACGGTTGTCTTCCAACGAGGCAGGTCCCTCAGTGGATCTGATCCGTTGTCTGGGCCTATTAAGAGGGAGCTTGGAGGGCGGGCTTCTTCCAACATCGTTGATGACTCTTGTGTCTACACTGGTCCTCCTCCTCATCATCATCAGCATCATCATCATCATCCGCATCCGCCCTCCTCCTCAACCTCCTCCTCCTCCTTATCATCATCATCTGTCCTCCTCCACCTCCTCCTCCTTCTCCACCCCCTCCTCCTCTCCTCCTCATCCACCTCCACCTCCTCCTCCTCCACCTCCTCCTCCTCCTCCTGTTCCTCCTCCTCCTCCTCCTCTCCTCCTCCTCCTCCTCCACCTCCTCCTCCTCCACCTCCTCCTCCTCCTGTTCCTCCTCCTCCTCCTCCTCCTTTTCCTCCTCCTCCTCCTCCTCCTCCTCCCCTCACCCTCCCCTCACCCCTGGTTTGTTGCCCCCCCCCCTGAAGCAACGCCCGACGTCCCGCATCCGCCCGCGGCCGCACCCCCCGCCCCCCGCCAGCCCAGAGGGTCTGGCTGGGTGGGGGGCCCCACGTCCGAGGCTCGCTCGGGTCGGCCATCGACGAGGACGTCGACGACAAGAGGTCGCTGCTGTCGTTTGGCCCTGAGCTCTGGGCGCTGCAGCTGCTTTCGACGCCACCGGGAGTTCTTGCCCAGCTTCGGGCCCCGGGGCCATCACGCAGCGATTCGGCTCGAAACAGGGTGCACGGAGGTGGAGTCCAGGGCCCAGGTCCTGATGTGACGCGACGTTGCATTTTTGTTCGCAGCGTCGGATCTCAGGGTGGGCGGGAGGGTCCAGGCCGCCCGCCCCAGGTGGGGCCGGATGCTGCGCATGGGGTCGAGGGATCGCGCCGCTTCGCCGACGACCCGGCTGGTACCCTGGCGATGCGGGGCGATTCGGAGTGTTGTAGCTCGATCTTTGCTGCATCCCGGTTTCGCCAACGCGTCGGCGATGCCGTGCGATCCTTCGGCACCCGTCTGCAACCGCATCTGGGCGGCCCCCAGGAGGGGAGAAGGTTAGAGGATGAGTGAGGGAGAGAGGTGATGAGCAGGAGGATGAGGAGGGGGAGGAAGAGGATGAGCGAAGAGGGAGGATGAGGAGAAGGAGGAGGAGGAGGAAGAGGAGGAGGAGGAAGAGGATTGAGGAGAAGGAGGAGGAGGAGGAGGAGGATTTTCCAGGATTCGACAGGCCAGACCTACAGAGATTCGTCGCACGAGTAGCGGCGGTGAAGAAGACCATCCCTGCCTCCAGGCCTGTCTTGGGCGATCAGGTTTGATCTTCAGAATTTGTGGCTGATGACGCGCAGTCCAGCTATCTCTTTCCCGTACCGTTTTTCTCATGTGGCTTTGGTAACGAGGAGCGACGAGCGGGGGAGATGGGCCCCCCCCTGGTGGTTGGCCCGTCTGTCGAGCCACGTCCTTCCGCAGCACAGCCCTCGGCGGCGGCTGGCTGCGCGCACGGGCGCACGCCGCTGCCCGCTGCCTTCCGCGAGAAAACTTGCAGTGTCGCACGAGCGGGCCCCGGCATTGTAGACGAGAACAGTTGGACGTGCATTTCCTTCTGCACGCAGTGCCACCCTGCCAGCGCATGCTCCTCTCCCACTGACAGCTCCCGCTGCCACTGCCCAGCTGCGCGCAAATGCTGCTCGCAGCACTGGAACTGATGGTGCTCGCTCCTGCACGTGCCGCCTTCTCACAGTGCCGTGCAAGCCTCGCACCCGCTGCCTGCCTGCGCACGGGCGGATCCCAGCGTTGTAGATGATGGCTGCCTGCCTTCTCGCCCAAGCTGGCCCTACCAACACTGCAGCTGATGAGGTGCTCCTGCTGCGCCAGCGGGCACCGACAATCGCTGCTGCTGCTGCTGCCGCCTGCCTTCTCGCCCCAGCAGACACCTGTGCCACTGCCTGCTTCCTCGCACTGCCAGTCAGTGCTGCCACTGCTCTCTCGTGCGAGCTGGCCCCAGCAGCCTTGTAGTCAATGAAGTTGCCTTGCGTCGCCATTTGGCACCGACAGCCGCTGCTGCCACTGCCTGCCTCCTCGGACCGGCAGACCTTGCTGCCACTGTTTGCCGTCCCGCAGGAGCTAACCTTCGCTACAACGTAGTTGAAGATGTTGCTCCTACGTGGCCATGTGTCACCGACAACCATTGCTGCCACTGCCTGCCTTTTCGCATCGACAGACCCTGCTGCCAACGCCTGCCCTTTCGCACGACGCAATGTAGCTGAATATGTTGCTCCTGCGTGGCCATGGGACGCCCGCAACTGCTGTCTCGCGCAGGCTGACCTCCGCTACAATGTAGCCGAATGGCTCCTGCGTGGCCATCGGGCAACGACAACCGATGCTGCCACCGCCCGCCTTCTCGCAATCTCGCGCTGACAGTCCCTGCTGCCACGGCCTGCTTTCTCGCAGGAACCGTTCCCAGCTTTGTCGCCGAAGGCACGGCTGATTCTGGCGGTCTCCTGCATGCTTGCTCCCGCGCACGGACCGCTCCCAGCACTGGCTGATTGCACTACAGATTTGCCCCTGCTCGCCTGCTCTCGCACGCACCACTCCCGACGCTGTCGCGTTGATGTGCTGCTCCAGTGTCCTCATGCTTGCCTGCTTTTTGGCAGCGGCACCGCAACCGGCGCCACTGCTCGCCAAGAGGTAAAGGAGCGGCGGGAGGAGGGAGAAACGAGGAGAAGACGGAGGGTGCCATGCCTCCTGGCGGGTGCGCACGCACGTGATCGAATCATTGCAGTTGATGACGTGGGGTGCCGCGCTTCTTGATGTCAGCCTTCGCGAGCAGGGCCATTTCGAGGTCTGTCCGCAAAGCGTCCTAGCGCGAGCCGTGCAGGGGGGACCGCTCGGGCGCGAACTTCCCTGGGGTTCGTGGAGTGCGTGCGGTCCTAGGGCCTGTGGCCATCGCTGGGCAAACCTAGCATTCAAGCCATGCTCTGCAGCCCTGGTCCGAGCACTCCCACTGTTCTGTGCCAGTTGTGGCCAGACCACAGCGGTCGATCCCCGTCACTCGGCGAGGAAGAGCTCTAGGATGACCAAGGGGGGACTCGAGAATTTACAGCGTCTCTCGAAGGGCCTTGGCGCAGAGCTGCGGCCTCTGATTCTGGAGGCCGCCAGCAGCACGCCATATATATATATACACACATATATAAAGGGGGGGGTCCTATAAGGATCGTATAAGAACCCTGTGTGAATCGTACATACGATTCCTGTGTGAATCGCAGACGGCTCCTGTGTGAAGCGTCCACGCATGCTTCGTGAATCGCACACGGTTCTTAATCTAAGCGCATCTGGTGCCAATGTGAATCGGATACTGCCCTGCGAATCGGATACGGATCCTGCGTGTATCGCATACGGTTCCTGTGTGAATCGCATACGGTTCCTATGGCCCGGAGCGCGTTCGTGGCGTTCGGGGCACGTAGCCGCGCCGTGGCAAGAGCGCCCAAAGCCTCCCGGAAGGCGTCCCTCCAGGGGACCCTCTGCTGGGCAGGAGAGGCTGCGGGGCTCCGAGCCCCGAGGAGCCAGATCAGTATGCAGCTCCGCGTTGAGCAGGAGGAGGCTGAGGGGGGAGCAACGAGAGCCAAAACAAACAAACGAAAACATAACACAACAAATAAACCAAAACAAACAACGAGCAACACAAACTTGGGATGAGCAGGGCCTCGGCCTGTTTTTCCCAACCCTCGCCTCCTGCACGCGAGTTGGAGCAGCACCGCCTCCCCCATAGACGCATGTGCATGCACTCCATCGACAATGTGTTTGGCCCAGTCGGGTCCTGGCAGGGACAGCGCTATGGCACGATGTTGATTTGATTTGGACCTGTGCTTTTCATTGCCCAGCTTGGTTGTCTCAACTTGGTCCAATTGGAGGCGAGGTAAGATGGAGAGGGAGGAGATATTTGGGAGGAATGATCTGGGCGTGTGGGAAAGGCACTTCCAGTGGGGCCAAGGCTGGTTGTTGGGTAGGTCAGCAACTGACCGAATTAGGGGAATATCCAGAGCTGCCGATGCGTGCCAAAATCCCAGCACCATGCGTCCACGCTAGTTGTACAAACACTCCGCTTGAAGAGTTGCGCCTCAAGAGGAGGAAGTTGGCAGTGGGCAGGGGGATGCGCGAAGAGGGTTTTGTTATTAGTTAGTGGATTGCCTGGCCGCAACTTAGTATCCACCGGATGGTGCCATCGACACATTGTTCGCGGGGGAGGGCATAGAAGGAGCAGCAGCATAAGCTAGCAGCCAGCGGACACGGAGGGCGCGCGCGCGCGCGGAATTGGGAACGAATTGGATTACGGATGAGTCGATCCAGAGGTTGTTTGTTTCACGCGTCTTTGATGCAGTTCATGCGCTCGCCTGGTGCAGGGCCAGTTTTGGATAATATTCCCGAAACAACGCTTCCACTTAGGGGCCCTTACTTGATTTCTAAGGAAATAGGCTCCGTTGTCGGGTCCGCCGCCTTGTGGTCGCCGTCGCCGCCGCGTCGCCGCTTCGTCGCCGCCCGTCGTTTGGGCTCGGTTGTCGGGTCCGCCGCCTTGTGGTCGCCATCGCCGCCTCGTCGCCGCCCGTCGTCTGGGCTCCGTTGTCGGGTCCGCCGCCTTTTGGTCACCGTCGCCGCCCCGCCACCGCCTCGTCGCCGCCTGGGGTGCGTTGTCGCGTCCGTCGCCTTGTGGTCGCCGCCGCTGCCTCGTCGCCGCCCGTCGTCTGGGCTGCGTTGTCGGGTCCGCCGCATTGTGGTCGCCGTCGCCGCGCCGTCGCCGCCCGCGTCGCTATTATAGAATGCACATACTGCACCACTCCAGTCGCTTAACGTGTGTTCTCCTCTTACTAAAAGAGTATTAGGGCCTACCCCCCTGAATTAACGGCCCCCTTTTTTCGCATTGGAAATCACATGAGTTTCTGCCCCATCGTCCATCCTTAACATGAATTCATACCATGCCAGGCAGGCTGGTACCCACCCAGCCTCATCCTCTGCAACAAATACTATGCGCGCACTCGTTTTTTTATATAAAAAACATTTGGTTGCAAGAAACCCTTGCAACCAGAGCGCAAGAAACCCTTTGCAAAAGTTGACGAAGTGCGCACGCGTCGTCGCGCGCGCATGCCGAAAGCTTTTGTGAAACCTCAGGCGTCGTAAGGATTGCAAATTCGAGCGTCGCGAAACCATGCATTTATAATCAAAAAATGACTTCGCAACAAAGGTTTCCTGACAAGCTCGCGCTCTTGCAGATTCTTCCGAAAACCATCGGTTGTTCGACATGCCCATAAAATGCTGCCACACGGGCCTCTCGCGCGCGCATATCGAAATCGTTCGAACGCATTGCGCGCGTGCTGTCGCGAGAGCCCTTTTTTTCAAAACATAGGACGAAGCGCGCACGCGCGCGACGTCGTGCGCGCATGCCGATTCTTTTTTTCAAAAACATAAAACGCAAGGATTTCAAAAACGAGTGTCCCGAAAACATATAAAAACACATGGCTATGAAACACCAGCCTTCAAAAAAGCCTGCGCGCGCGCTCCTGCGGATTTTCTAGAAAACCATCGGTTTTTCAATATTGCCAGCAATTTCTGCCAAGCGGGCCTCTCGCGCCGCATGTAGAAAACATCAGAGCGCCCTTGCGCGCGTGTTGAGGGGGGCACGAACCGTGCCAAATAAAGCCACGCGGGCCACTCGCGCGCGTCGGTCGCGCGCATCGTCATCGTTTCGGCAGGCGTGATCAACATCGGCGCCGTCAGTGGCCTTGCCGTCGTCATCGCCACCATCGTCACCACCATCGCTACTCAAGTCGTGTCTACCATTGCCGGCGTTGCCATGATACTGTGCCCGCCCGAGTCACTGACACGCAGTGAAGTGCCTGCTGGGAAGTGCCGAGCGGTCAGCGCCACCCCTGCCGCGTTGGTCTCGCCGCACTAGCTGGCCGCTGCGCGCGAGAGCAGGTGCGAGCTAGCGCGTCCGCAGAGATGCACCAGCCAGTACCAAGCACTCTTTCAATCGCCGCCGCAAGGGTTTTGCTAACCAAATTGCGGGTGGGTGGGCGGCATGATTGCGCGAGCAGTGGAGTTGACCACTCACTGCGAGCATTGGTGAGTTTTCCGCTTTGACAAAAAATATTAGGATCTCCCCCCCCTGGTTGAACGGCACACTTTTTCGCATTGCAATTTACATGTGGTTCTGCCCCATCGTCCATCCTAGCTATGAATTGGTACAATCTCAAGCAGGCCGGTCATCAACCCCCCCATCTTCCGCAGATGATACTATGCGCGCGCACTCGTTTATCAAAAACCGAAAGTTCCGTACAAAGTCGAGAGCCACGAAAATATGTAAACACACATGGTTTCGCAACAAGGGTGTTCAACCAAAAAATATCCCGGCAAAGCAAACTAAAAGCGATGTGTAGGAGCATATTTGGAAGCATTCCCCTTAAGATTCAGATGAGAATCCAGTTGTAGAATTCTGTTGTTCTCGCAGTCGTAGTCGCATTCGCGATGACAGTCGCAGTCGCAACGGCAGTCGCAGCCACAGCATCAGCCTCAGCCTGCCTCAGCCTCAGCCTCAGCCTGCCTCAGCCTCAGCCTGCCTCAGCCTCAGCCTCAGCCTGCTTCAGCCTCAGCATCAGTCTGCCTTCAGCCTCGGCCTCAGCCTCAGCCTGCCTCAGCCTCAGCCTGCATCAGCCTCAGCCTCAGCCTCAGCCTGCCTCAGCATCAGCCTGCCTCAGCCTCAGCCTCAGCCTGCCTCAGCCTCAGCCTCAGCCCTCAGCCTCCTCAGCCTCAGCCTTCAGCCTCAGCCTCAGCCTCAGCCTGCCTCAGCAGCCTCAGCCTCAGCCTCAGCCTCAGCCTCAGCCATCAGCCTGCCTCAGCCTCAGCCTCAGCCTGCCTCAGCCTCAGCCTCAGCCTGCTTCAGCCTCAGCCTCAGTCTGCCTTCAGCCTCGGCCTCAGCCTCAGCCTGCCTCAGCCTCAGCCTGCATCAGCCTCAGCCTCAGCCTCAGCCTGCCTCAGCATCAGCCTGCCTCAGCCTCAGCCTCAGCCTCAGCCTGCCTCAGCCTCAGCCTCAGCCTCAGCCTGCTTCAGCCTCAGCCTCAGGGCCTGCCTCAGCCTCAGCCTCAGCCTGCCTCAGCCTCAGCCTCAGCCTGCCTCAGCTCAGCCTCAGCCTGCCTCAGCCTCAGCCTCAGCCTGCTTCAGCCTCAGCCTCAGTCTGCCTTCAGCCTCGGCCTCAGCCTCAGCCTGCCTCAGGCTCAGCCTGCCTCAGCCTCAGCATCAGCCTGCCTCAGCATTCAAAATGTGGCCCGGGAATAGAGTTCTGGGAACTCGAAGAACACGAAGTGGACTACAGTTGGCTTCGGGCATTCAAAATCACCCCAGGAATTGAGTTCTGGGAACTCGAAGATCACGAAGTGGCCTACAGTTGGCTCTGGGCATTCAAAATCATGCCCAGGAATAGAGTTCTGGGAGTTCTAAGACCACGAAGTGGCTTACAGTTGGCTCCGGGCATTCAAAATCATGCCCAGGAATGGAGTTCTGGGAACTCGAAGACCACGAAGTGGCCTACAGTTGGCTCCGGGCATTCAAAATCATGCCCAGGAATGGAGTTCTGGGAACTCGAAGACCACGAAGTGTGTTACTGTTGGCTAAAAAAGGAGTCCCCCGATTCCCCCGGATCCCGTCCGGATCCCGCCCAGACCCGCTTGGGGAGTCATGATGCTCTCTTTTGACACTACTAGAAACCTATCAGCCTTCGCAGTTAGGTAACTTGCGCCATTTTCATAAAGTGCTACCACCAAGAGGGTTTCTCGCGCGCGCATGTCGAAATCATTCGAACGCCCTTGCGCGCGTGCTGTCGCAAGAACCCCTTGCAAAACATGAGACCGAGTGCACGCGGCGCGTCCTCGCGCGCGCGCGTGCCGAAATGTGTCAGTAGAAACCCTAGGTCCCGCAACGATTCCAAAAAAGAGCGTCCCGACAAAATCGAAAAAAGGGCACATGGTTTTGCAACACCAGTTTTCAAAGAAAGTCCTACCCTCGCGGCACTGCGGATTCTCAAGAAAACCATGGGTTTACATGTTCATCAAATTCTGCCAAACGGGCCTCTCGCGCCGCATGGCGAATTCATTCGAACCCCCTTGCGCGCGTGCTGGGGGGAGGAACGATCCGTGTCAAATAAAACCACGCGGCCCATTCACGCGCGTCGGCCGCGCGCGCATGTTAAACTGTTTCAAAACCTTCATCGCCGACGCGAAGACATCGTCATCGTTATCGGCGGGCGTGATCAACATCGGCGCTGTCATCGGCCTTGTCGTTGTCATCGCCACCATCGTCGCTACTCTCATAACCGTGTTTGCCGTTGCCCGTGTCGCCATGATGCCGCGCCCGCCCAAGTCACCAACACGCACTTTCGTGCCCGTTGGGAATGGCCCAGCGGTCAGCGCCACCGCGGCCGCGTCGGTCGCGCCAACCTAGCTGGCCGTTGTGCGCGCAAACATGCGCGGGCTAGCGCGGCCGCACAGATGCACCAGCCAACGCCAAGTACTCATCGCAATCGCCGCCGCACGGATTTTTCAAACCAATTGCGGATGGTTGAGTGGGATGTTTGCAAAGGCATGGGTGTTGCCAACTCATTTGCACAACTCAATTGCACCACATATATTGCACCACCTAGATTACACGACGTAGCTCACACCACGGATTGAACGACATAGTTTGCACAACAGACAGTGCACCACATAGTTTCCGCCACGCAGCTCGCACCACATAGATTGCACAACTTATCCTGCAGCACTGATATCGCCCCACATAGATTGCATTACATAGTTTTCACCATATAACTTGCACCACAGAGATTGCGCCGCATAGTTTGCTAGAAAACATTGCTTGGGGCCCACGCCTCCAAAATTTACATCGGCATCTGCATCGATATAGGAACACAATTGTCCGAGTGAGGGCCGAACAGCTTGCCACAACCTCTGGGTGCGTGGCTGCAGTGGAGTTGTGAGGTGCGGATTGTTGTTGCTGTTGTTGTTGGTGTTGTTGCTGTTATTATTGTCGTGTTTGTCGTCGTCGTCGTCCCGCGACCCACCCGCGCCTCGACCTACCCACGACCCACCACGTTCGCGACCCACCCGCGCCGCGACCCACCCGCGCCCCCTCACTCTCATCCGCAACTGTGGGAGACTAGGCATATGGCACAACTGGCGTGCCTGCGCGCAGTCTTCAGCTTGCGAGGGCAGCGCGAGGAAGAGACGAGAGGGCTGCCCCGCCAGGCTGTCCGACCTGCGGAACGGCACCCTGCCCGCCGCTGATGCAGGCGGCGTGGTGGCGCTCGCGGCAGTGGCAGGACCGCCGGCTGGTTTCCGATCGGGCGCGGCACTTCTGACCCGACCGTCCCAGGAAGGAAGGCACGGCAGATTCGCGCCGCGTCGATGCGCAACGACCGCCAGCGCGGGCGTTGAAGGTGGGAGGCCGCCGGCGGCTGGAACCGAGCCCATATTGACCGACCCTCGCTGTCGGATGGCGGAGCTCGCTCACGACCTGCGCAACGGCAGAGACCACCGTCCGCCGGTACGACAGGAACCGGGCGTTCAGGAAGTCCGGGGCCCCGTGCCGCCGGAGCGGGAGAGGATTCCGGCCGCGCCGCCCCCAGGGGTGCGGACCGAGTGGCCCCTGACGTTGCTGGACCGCATCCTCTCCCCTGGACGTCTTGGAAAAATTGCAGCATCGCGAAAAATCACGACCAGAGCCCCGGACCCCATCTTTCTGCTAGATTTTTCAAGCCAGATCGAGTTGCGAGGGTCTCCGGGCCCGAAAGTAGGCAAAAACGCCAGGCTCGAAAAAATGGCAACGCCAGGGTCTCAGAGTCTGGCCCCTACCCTTCCAGAGCCCCCGCCTGTGGCACCTGTGCGTGCGCGATCCCGCCAGGGCCCCCTCTCCTTGGGCTGCGAGGGCCCGCGCCAGGGCGCGCCAGGAGTCGGCGGTGCGCAGAAGGGGCTGGCGCGAGGGGGCAGCGCGGCTGTCCGTGAGGGCCGGGGGGCTGCTCCGCCGGGGCACAGAGGTACCCCGAGATCCTGGCGCTGCAAACGTGTCACAGCGGATCATCACAGGTCGATCCAGCTCGAAAAGTGCCGCAGAAAGATGGGGTCCGGGGCGAAGCCCCGCCGCCTTCTGGAAAGGCCTTCTCCTTCTCATCGTCTTGCGATGTTGCAAGGTTGCAAGGCGTTGCAACGCTTTCGCTGCGTCGGATCTCAGGGCCTGAGCGCTCCGATGTCTCGGCCCGCCTCCGGAGAAGTGCTGCCGAGGCGGTTCCCTCCTCTCGAGCTGCGGCCGGCCGGCGCGAGGGCTTCTGAGAAGCCCCGCCACCTTCTGAGAAGGCCTCCCTCCCACCTTGGCATCGCTCGGACGTGTGCATTTTTCCTTCGGCGAGGACCATCGAGGAGCATCCTTGATCATTTGGAGAAAAAGCCACGCACGAAGCCGACAAAAAACACAGGAAATGGACGTCCGAGCGATGGCCAGTCACTGCCCCCCCCCCTCGCTCGCCGCCGAGTCTGGTTCTTGGCTCGCGCCTCGGCTCTTGGGCGGCCGCTCGGCACGCTCCGGGCACCCTTGGGCACGCCCTCGGCGGGGCGCCACCGCTGGAACACGCACCTCGCGGGCGGCAGGCGGCCAGGAAACACGGCGAGGACGCCCGCAAACGCCCTTGAGCCTCGAAGGTCCCCCCCCCTCCTCTCGCTCGCCGCCGAAGGTTTGCTCCGCGATGGATCGTCTTCGGCACCGCCTGGCTCCGGGGCTTTGCCCCCTCCTGGCCTTGACGTGCGGCCCCTCCTCCTGCCCCCCCTCCCCGTCAGTTCAGGCTGTGCGCGGCCCGCTGAGCTTCGACCGGAGGAGGTGCGCTCTCGACCCGCGAATCAAAAGAGTTTGCTCCGCGACGTCGGATCTCGGGGGTAATTCGCCCGGAGCAGGGCGGTCGCCCGGCCCCGCCTCGGGCCGGCCTGGCGGCCCGCGTGCCCGGGCGCACGAGTCGAGCAGGGGATCGACGAATTACAGAATGGATTTACCCCAGAATTGATCTTTCCGTCGAATCTTCAGAAAGATTTTTTAAACAAAACAAAAAAAAAAAAAAGAAACAAAAAAAAAAAAAAAAAAAAAAAACGGGGGTGCACAGACCTCCTACCCTGACACGTCGATGAGTGAATTGGCCGTTTTCGGTTCGCGCGAGGGCGTCGCGGCCGTCATTTTTGCGGGTCCAGGTCCGTCGGTTTCGGCCCCAGGCCGTTTTCACTAAGGGGGGGTCTACTAAAGGGAGGTTTGTCCTCCGCCGAAATTGATCTTTTCGTCGAATCTGCAACAAAAAAAGCGTATGAAAGCGTATGCACGAGCAGTGTACGCATTCTTGCGTAGATTCGACAAACAAATTAATTCCTTGGGGGTAAATTATCCTGCAGTCGATCCTCTACTCGAGCGAGGGATAGCCCCGCGCCAGCCGATCAGATTCGGCGGACGAGGGCACGAGGACACGAGCACAGGGGGGTGAACGAACGACGAAGCGACAGGGGGGGGAAGAGGGGCGCGAGTCCGTGCGCCGGGCTCTCGCGCCCGCGCGCGCCAGCACCCTGGCCTGCGCTCGGCTGTACAGGCGGAGGGAGCGGGGATGGGGGGGCAGATAGGGCGAAGAGAACTATGCACATGCACCGATCCTGGCAAGGCCCATCCTTGACCCAGGATCGGTGCATATGCTTTCCTGGCCACTGTAGTAGGAGGGCGTATGCACCGATCCTGGGCTCAGGATGGGCCTGGCCAGAATCGGTGTACGTGCAGAGTTCTTTGATTTTCTCTAGCAGAGAGGCAGGCAGAGAAGCAGGCAGAGGGCGGGAGACGGAGGCAGGGGGCGGTCGGCGGGGCGGCGCCGACTGAACGGCGGCGGCGGCGGGCGCGGCAGGCGCGGGCGCGCCGGCAGCCGCGCGGCAGCTGCTGGCGGTGGCGGCGGCGGGCGCGGCAGGCGCGGGAGCCCCCCCCCGGGGGCCGCGCGGCAGCTGCCGGGGGCCCCTCCTGCCTTCCAAGCCCTCCGCGGGTGCCTCTGGGCCCCTCGGCGGCCGCCGCCGTCGCCGTCGGCGGCGGGCGAGGGGGGGAAGTGCGAGGGCGCCCTCGAGGGCGGGTGGCGCCCTCGAGGGCGGGCAGTGCAAGGGTGCCCTCGAGGGCGCAAGAGCACTTCGCGCCACCCCCCGAGGAGGCCACCCCCCTCGCGGCGACCCCCACCTGCGGGCGCCGAGCTGGAGGGGCCTCGCCCTGGGAGGGCCTGAGGCTGCCAGGGGGGCCTGCTCCATCCCCACGGGCTGCTCGGACCATCTGCGTGTACCCTCAGGCCTCGCGGCAACGACGGCGACGTCGTCGCCGACCTCGTCGCTGAGGGGGAAGTCTGGGTGGAACTTCTGGAGGTCCTCGCCGCCACGGCCGTGCGCAGTTCGGAGGACGAGCCAGGATGCACCCTGAGAGGTGTCCGGGGGGGTCACGCTCTTGAGCTGATTTAGATACTGTGGGGTTGGCAAGCCGGCGCCTCTGTCCAGGCCCCCGGGCGGTGGTGGTGAAATGAACGTCAAGCTGTGCTCACATGCATGCACCCAGAGGGGGAGACAACCAGAGGCAAAAGCATGTGACTTCGGATGTTCCCGAAGAGACGAATATCCAAGCATCAGGCCAGAGCACCGACGAATCAAAGCATCGGGCCCCCGGGCGCCAGGCGGGAGGCCGAGCTCAAGGAAGAGCGACGCCCCTCGGAGGGGTATCACCTCGGCTCTTCTCCTCCTCCTCCTCCTCCTCCTCCTCCTCCTCCTCCTCCTCCTCCTCATCATCATCATCATCATCATCACCATCACCATCACCATCACCATCACCATCGTCATCATCATCCTCGAGCCTCCTCCTCCTCCTCTTCCTCCTCCTCCTCCACGAAGCACCCCAGCGCGGTGAGGGGTTAGACCGCAGCAGCCCCCAGCGTGGCGAGGGGTTAGGCCACGTTTTTCCCCAGCGCGGAAAGGGGTTAGACCGCACCGAACCCCAGTGTGGCGAGGGGTCAGGCCACGACGGACCCCAGCGCGGTGAGGGGTTAGACCGCAACAGACCCCTGCGCGGCGAGGGGTTAGGCCACCACGGAGCACCCCAGCGCGGTGAGGGGCCAGACCGCAGCAGGCCCCAGCGCGGCGAGGGGTTAGGCCGCAGAGGACCCCTGCGCGGCGAGGGGTTAGGCCGCAATGCACCCCAGCGTGGCGAGGGGTTAGGCCACAGCCCTGCGCCAGGCAAGGCGGCCGTGAAGGCCCAAGAGTCCAGGGACCAGCGGCCAGGGCGGTCCCTGGAAGAGCGCAGAGCGGAGGAGCGGCTGCGGCCGTCCATCAGGCTGCTCCTCAAGCTCTGAGAGGGCGGCGGCAGCATTTCTTCAGACTGCCGCCGCCCACGGGGCGACTCCATGAGTCATTGAGTGGCGGCAGTACGACGTCGTGAGATGAGGCCGCTGGCCCACCCCGCCTCGGGCCGTTCTGCCTGCGCGGGGTGCCGAGACCAGGGGCACCCACTCACGGGCGGGAGCACGCGGGTTTAAAACTCCTCCTCCTCCTCCTCCTCCTCCTCCTCCTCCTCCTCCTCCTCCTCCTCCTCCTCCTCCTCCTCCTCCTCCTCCGTGGAGGCAGCGAGGGTGCACGAGCTCTCGGCCACGGGGGGGCCACCGCTGCGACTCCTCTGTCGCCCAGGCCTCGGGCGCCACGAGGGGCCCACGAGCAACCGCGAGAGGTTCTGAAGACCGCCAAGAGGCTCTCAAGACGTCCCCAGGAGGCCTCGTCGGCGTCGGCTCGACCTCGACGTCGGACGCGGCGTCGGTCTCGGCGTCGGCGGCGGCGTCTGCGCCGGCCACGAGGGGGCCTCCGGGACAGCCGCGCCGACTCCTCCGCCGCCACACCCAGGCACGGGGACCAGGAGCCACGAGCGGCCGCGAGTGGCCGCGAGGATCCACGAGGCCGCGTGCCACGAGCATCCAGGGTCCGTTTCGGTTCGACCGGTTCGGTGCGAACCCGTTCCGATCGATTCTACGGCGTTCCCTTTTCGATGATCTCTGCCGGTCTGTTTTTCGGCTCAGAGCCGATTCGATTTGTTCCGGCGCTGGCCAATCGGATCCGTGAAGTTCCGATCCGATTCTGCTAGATTCCGGTCCGATTTCCAATTCCGATGTGTTTGTACCTTCGTCTCCCTCTGTGGTGTTGTGTGGATCTACCGCTCCTCCGACTGCGAAAGACAGCTCCTCGTCCACCCCTTCTCCCTCCCACCCACTCCCCTCCCTCCCACCCTACCGTCTTCCCCTCCCCCCCGCACTCCTTCCTCCGCGGATGCCCTCCCGCCCACGCGCCCCTCCCCCCCCGCAGGCCTGCCTCTTCCCCTGCTGCTCCCCCTCCCTGCCTGCCTCGTTCCCCCCGCTCCTGCACTGGGCCCCCGGGGCCCGCTGCCGCCGGGCGGCCGCGGGTGGCGCGGCAGGCTGGGGCCACGAGGGAGGCCGCGCGCGGTCCCCGAGGGGGCCGCGAGGGAGGCCGTGCGAAGGGGCCGCTGCGAGAGCACCGCGAGCATACGGCGAGCACGGCGAGCACCGTCACGGCGGCAGCAGCGGCGAGCACGAGGGCAGCGAGCACGGCGAGGGAGCCGCTCGAAGCGGCCCCGCGAAGGGGCCGCGGAGGGGCCCTCGGGCGGCCTGGGGCTCCGCGCCGCTCTCCGAGGCGAGGCGGCCCCTCCCCCGGAGAGGTCCTGGCGCGTCGCGGTGGTTGGTTCGAGCCGGGCGTTTCTTCGTCGCGCTTCGGGCCCGGGGACCCTCGCAGATCGATGCGGCCCGAGCACGTGGAGCAAAAAGGGTGGGTGGTATACACCCCCTCGAAGTCAAGCGCAAAAGTTTTTTAAGGGTGGTCGACGCGCGAAACGCGGCCCACTGGGTCCGCGTTTGGTGTTTGCAGTCGCCACGTTCGGCGCGAGCCTGGAACTGCTGAGGTCCTGTGGGCATCGCCACGTCGCGGGAAGAGCTTGCGTTTGATCTCGAGGGGGGTGTAGGGCTCCAGGCGTGAATGTTTGCACGATGGTACTACTTTTGTCGCTGCGTCAGATCTCAGGGCCCGGGCGCTTCGATGTCTCCATCCGCCTCCGGAAAGAGAGAGCGGCCGAGGCGGTGTTCCGTCTTCTCGAGCTGCGGCCGCCCGTCTCGCCGAGCCGACCCCAGCGGTGGCCGCTCCAGCCCCGACCTCTGAAAGGTCCGGCGAGGCTCCGACTTCGAGCTTCGGCGGAGCTCCGATCTTCGGACGAGCCCAGAATCGAGGCACATCCGAAGTCGGGCATGTCCCGCTACAGGAGGAACATTTGAAAAAAGATCAAAGAATAGTCAGGGGACGACTTTCCTTTTATTTTTGTTGCCTATTTTTGAATATGTTTGACTATGTCAATTTTTCATCCGATATCCGCCTGTAGGAGGACACGCCCGCCCTAAGGCAAATCCGTTCCAGAGCGTTTCGGGATGCCCTCAGAGCGTTCCGGAGCGCTTTCAGAGCGTTGCGGAACGCTCTAAAACGGCCGCGGCGCCCGAGGCATCCTCCAAGCCCGCCGATCCTCAGATATTTCCGACTTGTATCGGTGCGTGTTTGTCTCGATGTTGCCTTCGTCTTATCGGCGGCGTTCCCGGCGGGGAAGTGAGACGGGGCGGGCCTTCTCAGAACGTTCGGAAGTCCCCCGGCCTTCTTGAGAAGGCTTCTGAGCCTTCCCCGAAGACGCAGAAAACCTCCCAGAAGGCTGGAGGGCTTCTTAGAAGCCCCGCCGCGCTCTGCAAAGGGCTTCTCCTTCTCACTTCCCCCCCTTCGCTCGCCACCGACTGAAGCCATTCTGCCAAGCTCTCGAGCTGCCCAGCCCGTGGACGACGAGGGAGAACCGGGAGGCCCGAAGACGCAGAAGACCTCCCAGAAGGCTGGAGGGCTTCCGCGCAAGCCCCGCCGCCTTCTGAGAAGGCCTGCTCCGTCTCAGGAGCGAAAGAAGGACGTACACGTACATGAATCCACGCTGGTTTCGAGAGTACGCATCGCCCGAAAGTTCGCATCACGCGGCCGGTCTCGCAGATCGAGGGGCCGTGTTCATGTACATAGCTGGGCGCGTACGTCCTTTGTGGGCTCCCTACCTTGTCAGCTTCCCCCCCGGGCGCGCCGCCGACCAACGCTGGAGCACCCACGGTGCCAGAGTCAGCCGCTTGCGTATCGTACACGGTCCCTGCTGCCAAGGCTGGCTGCGCCAGCGCACTCAGGATGGAAGTCTTCCGCCGCTGAGTGCCCCCCCTCATCCACCCGCCTCCGCGGCCGCCTTTGTCTGCCTCTGTCTGCTCTCTTGCACGCTGGGTAATGTTGCTTTTCGATAGCCCCGTTTAGCCCGACCGCTGGTGCAGCAATTCTGCCTCGCCGCTGACGAGAAAAGTGTATCGAACACTGCCCTTGCCTACTGATGAACACGGCAGAAGGGATCCCAGCATGGAGGCACCCTGGAGGAGAGGGCCGCATGCGGAGAGACCTTCTGGATGCCGAGCGCACGCTGCTCGGGAACTGAGCAGGTGCTGGTTGAAACCAGGCGCGGGGGGCCTCGCGCCACGGGCCCCCACGTCCAATCTCTCTGCTCCCTCTGCAGGCAGAGCACGGTGTTGCCACGATGCTCGACGTGCAAACGGGGGCGCCCGGTCGAAGCGAGCGCAGGCCCCAGCCAAAGGCCCAGCCGCAGCAGGAGCCGTGGTCGGGCGGCGTCCGCTTGAAACAACTGTGCCGCCCGCTCAGTCTTCCTCCGCCTCCTCCTCCTCACGCCTGCGCACTCCCCCTCCTCCTCATCCTCCTCCTCCTCCTTTTCCTCCTCCTCCTCCTCCTTCTCCTGCTATTGCTTCTCCTCCTCCTCCTCCTCCTCCTCCTACTCCTCCTCCTCCTCCTCCTCCTCATCATCATCATCATCATCATCATCATCATCATCATCATCATCATCCTTCGCCTCCTCCTCCTCCTCCTCCTCCTCCTCCTCCTCCTCCTCCTCCTCCTCCTCCTCCTCCTCCTCCTCCTCCTGGGTCCCAGAAATGGTCCCCCCGACGCCCTGGGCCGCGACAGAACGGCTCAGTCGGAAATGCACCACCGAGGCCATTGCTCAGGGCATCCCTCTCGCCCCCCCCCCGCTCCCTATCCCCATCCTCTCCCTCCCTTCTTACCCTTTTCTGGTGCTGAGGGGCACATGATCTCCTTACACACCTCACCTCCACATCTTCCCCTCTCCCTCTCCTCTTCCCCCCTCTCCTGGTGCTTCCCCTCTTCCCTTCTCCCGGTGCTCCTGGAAGGGAGCGGCCCGCAAGGTGTGGTGGTGCTGGTGCTCTCCGTCTCCGCCGTGCGCTGGGGTGCCGCGCAGGGCGCTGCTGGGCATGCAATCCACCTGCCCAACCCAGTGGAAACGAAAGGGCCGTCCACCCTCTCTGGCCCACACCCCGACCGCCTACTGTTGAGACCCATACCAAGAAACACCCTGCTTGCCTCCAGGGTGCCCTGGGGTTCGATGGTTTTGCTATGGAAAGCGTGACGTTCCCACACCAAAAATCAATGAACGTCCTGGGGTCTCAGGGTTGTGTGTTCTTGCGAAAGGGTTCTTGTGGTCGAGCCCCTACTGTACCAATGAGAGGATGGCGAGCCTCATTCGATATTACGCCGTTACAAAAGTTCGTCATGTTTCATGGGCGCGTCAAGATGATGCAGGTTTCGTCCGTTCCGCGCTAGCGGGCGGGCGAAGGCTGACTCCTGCCCTGACCGCGCCAAGCTGTCCCCCTTCCCCTCCTAGAATCCTAGCGGGCTGGGTCAAGAGCGATCGGATCAAAGATCCAGGATTTCTAAATCTGGGAATTTCTTCAGTTATAATTTATATATGTGTAAAACTGGGTAGTTGAAAATCCCGACGTTAAAAATTGGAACAACAAAATGTTTGTCTAAATCCCACCTGGCGGGATCTTGCCCTGCCACTGCAAAATGAAAAAAATCCAATTCATGACGAAACTTTTGTAACGCTGATGTATGTACCTCTTCTTCCCTCTCTTCCTCCTGCCAGAATGCGGCCTGTGGCGTGCCAGTGACCGGTCTGTGTCCGAGTCCGTGCATCTTTCCTTGCTGAACTTGTTCTCCGTCGCCCAACCAGACGGTTCGGTCGGGTGCCACGGGCGGTCCGGCCGCGATTTCCTCGCAAGTTGTTGCCCCAAGATTTGCCATGTGCAACAGATGCACGAATGGAGGGTGGCCCATTCCGTTCTCGGGATGCGTTAATCTCTCAAAGTGTGGTCCCAGCCTCGAGCAGCGCCACTCATTTTCCTTTGACCTGTTTTCAACGGCCACACGGATGCGGGACGGAACTCGCTTCCCTGAAGGGGGCTATCGTTTGAGATACGCCAATGGCTTTCATCCGTTACGCGGATGCAGTTCGATGCAATATCTAGCAAAGGCCTTCGTCATAAATCGCGATGCCTGTGCAGGGGGCGACGACGAAGGAAAGCAGAGAAAAACAAAGGGGGAAGAGGGATGAAACTGCGTCCGCAAATCCGATCGTGGTCGCAAGGCGTCCTGGTGCGGGTCAGGAGGACTCGATGCCTCTATATCTCCACATCGGAGGCGGGGCCGGGCGGGGGCTCGATGTCTCGGTGTCTCGATGTCGGGGGCGGGGCCGCGCGGGGACTCGCCATCTCGATATCTCGAAATCGGAGGCGGGGCTGGGCGCGGACTCGATGATTCGACAACTCGATATCAGTGGCGGGGCCGGGCGGAGACTCGATATTTCAATACCTCGATATCCGGAGCGGGGCCGGGCGCGAACTCGATGTCTCGATATCTCGATATCGAGGACAGGGCGGAGCGGCGACTCGATGTCTCGATATCCAGGGCGGGGCCGAGCGGGGACTCCATGTCTCCATGTCGCGCTGAGAGCGTTCTTATCGATACCGTGGCCTAGCTATGTCTGCCACGTTCCCCTCTGTATGCAGAGGTCGAGATATCGAGAGGCTTTGGAGGATATCGATGTAGCGAAGGTTTTGCCATACACGTCCTTCGCACATCTCCAAGAGGGCCTCAGGAGGTCCCCCAGAGGGGCCCCAGAGTGCCACAGACGGCACAATGCCTTCAAGACGGCCCAAAAGGGCCTTCTTGGACGGTCGACGAGGGCCCCCGGACGCCCCGAGATGACCTGCACGCGACCCAACAGAGTCAGACGGCCCAAAAGAGCATGGAAATGATTTACACGGAAGCACGCAGAGGCCATACGCATTTATACTCGAAAGACGGCTGTTACATCTTAAGACGACGTTAACAGTGAGATGGCGTTGCAAAGCCACGGAATGCCGCCTTTATTTATGCAGAGGCTTCTGGTGCCTGCTGGCTCGGAGGTAATCTTGGGGCGGAGGGCTCGAGATGTCAGTGCGGCTTCTCCCTCGTGGGGCTCTCTGGTGGCCTTCTGGGGTCTTCTCGGCGGCCTTCTGGGCCGTCACTGGGCCCTCTTGGGCTGTCGTGCGGGCCCGTGGAGGCCTCTCGGGCCATCTTCGGGCGATCTGGGGGGCCTCTCGGACCGTCTTGGGGGGCTTCGTGGCCTGCTTCGGAGCCCCTTGCTCCGAAACTATAGCGCGACAACGCGCAGGAACACGCGGGAAGCCACGAGAGCACCCAGAGCTCGGGGCTGTGTGCCCCCTACAGAGTATCACAGAACTCAATACAGAGGACCCAGAGGTACCTGAGGACACTCCACGTCGAGCCTCGTGGCACGGCGGCGGATCATGGCCCCCTTTCCCATCTTTCAATGCATCCCGGGTGTTTGCCTCGACCGTTCACGTGCCTCGGACCATGATGCGCTGACCCCCCTCTTCCTGGTCACACTCTTCGGTGCACCCGAGAGAGTGACCCATACTCCTTTTTTGTTGCGTCGGCGGCTAGGCAGAGTCACTGCGCTGGCGATCGGGCGCTGGTGGGCGCGCGAAACGCGAATTAGGCCACCATGCATGAGCGGAGGGAGGAGGCGCCCGGCGGCGGCGGGAGGGAGAGGGAAGCCGGGCCCGCGCAGAGCGTGGCCAGGCGCGCGGCGGGGGCGGCGCCGGGGGGGAGGGGGACCAGCGGCGGCGGGCCGGCGGCCGGGAAGCGGGGGGGCGCCGAGGCCGGCTGCGGAGCAGCGTGGCTGGGGCGGGGAGCCAGTGCCCAGCAAGGGCTGGTGACGAAGGCGAAAGCGAAGAGGAGAGCCCCGGGCCCGTGGAGTACCGAGGACCCGCGTGGCACGTGCGAGCTGCCGGAGCAGCGAGCGCCCGAGGCGGTGCAGTGCGACGAAATCTCCCCCAGGTGAGGGGCGTGAGCTTGAAGACCAGGCACGGCGGGGGGGGGCGGAGGGGGCGGAGGGGGCGGGGGCAAGACCAGCCCGGGGCCCCGAAGCGAGGGGGGGCGCGGCCGGAGGGCCGGGGGCTGGGCCCGGCCCGCGCGGGCGAGGGCCGCCGGGGAGCGGGAGACACCGAAGGGGTGCACTGTCAGTAGGAGGAGGCCCCGAGGCGGGAGGGCCTGGGAGAAAAGGCAAGGAGTCTGGACGCCCGAAATGGGTACGGAAAGAATGGGTACAACGCCCAACAGCAATTTCTGTTCATTTTGAACAGGATTCGCTGTCCGCGCCGCCGCAGCCTGTGTCCATTCGAGATAGAAGGCCGCCTGCCCAACAGCGGCCGCTGTTGGTTTGGGAACATTTGTTGTTGGGCATTGTATCTATTCTTTCCGTACCCATTTCGGGCGTCCAAAAAGAGCGCGGAGCCCCGACGAGGAGCTTGGGCGCCGGCGAGGCGGGGGGCGACAGGGGGGAGTAACCCATACATCCGACGATGGTTTTTTGTCCACCCGCGCCCCAGATGTCTCGGTCACTACCCCACAGAGACAGCCCAAGAGGGCACCAGGACAACCACAGAGGGCCCCAGGGCGGCCCATGATTTACGCGCAAGGTCGGTTGCGAGTTGTGTGTATGACTGACTTACCAAGGTCTTAACACCATGTCCCCAGATGGTAGCAATATGAGAAAGGGTGTATCTATAGGTACAGATGCATATATGTAAGAATACATACCCATCTATATATATATATATACATATATATATATGGAGATGCATATAAGTATATATATGGTATAGTAAATGTATACGTATATATATATATATATATATATATGCAAGACTGGGTTGGCGCTTCGCGCCATGCACCTTGGTCTGATAAGTGGACGGTGCAGGCAAACTGACAGAAATAAGCCGATCAATAAAGAAATCGTTTCTGGTGGCCGATTGCGCCATCACCGTGGTTACATTGTTCTTCTTGTTCCTTTCCTTATGTTTGCCTTCGTCCATGTTCTCTTCCTCATTCTCGAGCGAATTGGCACACGAAGGCTTTTTCATCCTCTTCTGATTCGTTCGCGGAAGCTCCTTCGTGGCGAATCTTTGGAGAGCTTCGCGGAAGCATTGTTAGGGCTCTTTGGGAGCCTTTGGAGGCGGCTGTGGCGCCTCTCGGCGACCAGTGGGGAGGTCCTCGAGCCACCATACCGGGAGTCGTGGTTCAAGATCACGTGTGGCAATTCTTGGGGAAGTTGTTTTGAAGACAGTTTGGGGCCGTGGTGAGGCCGCCCGTGGGCAGTTGGGGGGCCTTCTTGGGCCCTCATGGGGCCCTCTTGGGCGGTCAGGAAGCCCGTCTGGCCTGTCTTGAAGCGGTTTTTTGTGTTTTTTCTAGTGATTTCGGACGCGTGGAAGCCTGAATGAGCGAGCATCCGAAGTATAAATTATCCCAGCAAAGCAACCTAACAGCGATGTGTAGAAGCATAGCTGGAAACATTGCCTGTGGTATTCATGTAAGAGCGCTGTTGTAGAATTCTGGTGTTCTCGCAGTCGCATTCGGATTCGCAGTGGCAGTCGCAGTGGCAACATCAGCGGCAGTCGCACTGGCACTGCCAGTAGTTGCAGTAGCAATAGCTACACTAGCAGCAGCAACAGCAGCAGCAGCAGTAATAGTAACAGTAGTAGTAGCAGTAGAAGTAGTAGTGATGGTAGTAGTGGTAACAGTGAAGTAGTAGTTGTAGTGTGTGGAGTGAACGAGTAGGAGTGATGGGAGCAGTGGTAGTAGCAGTAGAAACACTGCTTTCGATAACGGTATCTCCAAATGAGATCTTTGTATAAATGCATTGAGGTCTAAACAAGACACTGCTATCAACGGATGTGATTCCAAACGAGACACTGCTATCAACGGGTTGAGCCTCAAACGACACACGCGAAATGTCTTTGGGGATGCGGTCGCGATGGTCCGAGAAACGTTTGGCCAACTTGTTTTCGGCCCGTTTTTGTTCGTACGTTCCTTTATTTCGCTTCGGTATCCGGCC